GGGTAAAGGAAGGGCTGCCAGTCTTCTTAGAGCCTCACTGTTTCTTGTATCCATGTAACTGATGCTTCCAGCATCAGTTGCATCTGCTACCACATCACTATTCTGTTATTTAATTTATCCCTAACTTCCATGTTTTCCAAGTCCCATCTCTGTCTGGCACTGGGGACTTTTTGGTCATAGGCAGTCACCCAGCCTACCTCGCCAGTGAGATCTTTGCTTTCCAGCTTTACACCTTTGGATTTGTGTGTTCCCAGACAGCGGCCTCCTGTGGAGCTTCCCTTTGAGGAGAGTGAGCGAAGAGCTCTGCTTCTGAAGAAGTGGTCCCAGTACAAGCATCAAGAGCACGAGAAGGAGAGGGATGCCATCAGGACCATGCTCAAGTCCCAGCAGGAAGCTCTGCAGGAGCTGCAACTCATGTCCCCAGAGCTACATGCAGAGGCCACCAAGCGGGACCTCAATTTGTTCCCCTTTGAAAGAGAAGGACCAGATTACACGCCACCAGTCTCCAACTACCAGCCCCCTGAAGGCAGGTACCATGATATCACTAAGGTATACACACAGGTGGAGTTTAAGAGGTAGAGCCACATGCACCTGCCCACAGAACACTCTGCCCTTTAGAGCCAGGAGGACGAGGGCTCAAGCTTGCTTGTCACAGAACCAGGGATGCTGTGAATAAATACGTTTAATCAAGTGTCTCTGTCTTATGCTTGAGTCAAAATTAATTGACCTGAAGACTGATGGAGGTGAGAGATGGTGCCCTTGTCTGGTACTGGGGAGAGAATGACCAAGACATTTAACCGCTGCTCCCCAGTAAAAAAGATTCTAGTTGTGTGGGGCAGACACCACCAGCAAGAGGCAGCTAGGTACCTCAAGAGCAGAGGAGAAGGATGTGCAGACTGTGTGCTGTGTGTTGTCTGTGTACCTGTGCAGACAGGAGAGGCTGGGCCTTCCCACTGGGGAAATGGAACACGGGACCTTCCCCACATCTCTGGCAGGGCCAGCTTTGGGTTTTAAGCTGGGGAGGGAAGTTGAAGAGAGTGGAGCAAGTCTGGCACCCACTACTTAAAGTTGCTGTGCTCCTTAGGAGGGCGTAGCACCCGACTCTTGATTCAAGTGTTAGTCTGGGATAGTGAATGTGTTAGTGTGCTGGGGCTGTAAGAGCAAAGTACCATAGTCCAGGGGCTTAAACCACAGAAATTTGTTTCTCATAGCTCTTGAGGCCAGAATTCCCAAATCAAGGTGTTGGCAGGACTGGTTTTTCCTGAAGCTGTTCTCCTTTGCTTGAAGAGAGCCACCTTCTCCCTGGGTCCTCGTACGGTCCTCCCTCTCTGCCTGTCTCATGTAATAAGGATACTAGTCAGATTGGATTACGGCCCAGTATTATGACCTCCTTTTAAATTAATTACCTCCTTAAGTACCCTATCTCTAAATAGTCCCATTCAGAGGTACTAGTGGTTAGAGCTTCAACACAGGAATTTGGTGGCAGGGGGATGGGGGGTGGGGAACAACACAATTCAGCCAGAAATAGTGAAGGTCCAGTGAGCAAATAGAGCCATTTCTCCTAGTGACTTGCATTGCTACCTCAGAAAGAGTTTGGGTTTTTCACCGCCTTAGTGCAGATAAATCAAGGAAACATTTCATTTGAGGAAGAATTCAGATTATTTTCTCCAGGTATGGGGTTCACTTTTGGCTTAAAAACTTACTAAACATTTTTACTGGATAAAAACACTGCCTAAGGATTCTGAGTTCATTAGTTCTATCTTTTTTTTCTTTTTTTTTTTTAAAGATTTTTATTTATTTATTTGACAGAGAAAGATCACAAGTAGACAGAGAGGCAGGCAGAGAGAGAGAGAGAGAGGGAAGCAGGCTCCCTGCTGAGCAGAGAGCCCGATGCGGGACTCGATCCCAAGACCCTGAGATCATGACCCAAGCCGAAGGCAGCGGCTTAACCCACTGAGCCACCCAGGCGCCCCTCATTAGTTCTATCTTTGAGACAAACACTGCATATGGCCACTTTTCACAACCTCACTGCTCCCTTAAGGTCCACACCACTGCCACCTTTTGTCTATTCCACTGCTGCAGCAGCCAACTGATGCGTCCACGTGGCCACTTCCCCCCTGCCCTCCCCTGACCCCCTGTAAGCTGCTCTGCACAACCAGAGGGCTCTGTAAAGCACAAGCCAGGGCCGGCATTTGGCTACTCACCACCCATGATCACACCTTACAGACCCCCATCCACCTTCCCCCCCATCAGCACATGGCACCCAGTTGTTCCTTGTGGACTGTGAGCTGCTTCCCCTATAAGGCTCAGGCCTCTTCATCCAGGTCTCAACTTAGATGCTGAGGCCTTCCCCACCTCCCTGTTGGTTTTTGTTTGTTTTGTTTTTAGTTTTATTTATTTGTCAGATAGAGCACAAGCAGCGGGAGTGGCAGGCAGGAGAAGCAGGCTCCCTGCTGAGCAAGGAGCCTAATGGACTGGATCCCAGGACCCTGGAATCAGGACCCGAGCTGAAGGCAGATGCTTAACTGACTGAGCCACCCAGGCGCCCCTGCAGGTGCTTTGTTGTAGTGCTTTTCAAACAATAGGTTTCATCCGTTAGGTTATATAATCAATTCATGGGGTCAGGGCCAGCAGTTACAACTTTTTATTTTGAAGTAGTTACAGATATATAGGAGGCTGGAAATAAAGATGCAAGGAGGGGCTGTGTGTGGTTCTCCCAGCCTCCCCAAGTGTTAACATCTTACACGCCACATACAGTGTGTGAGAAAGAGACTGACATAGGCAGAACCCAGAATGCATTCAGGTTTCCCACTGTGTCTGCACTCACTGGTGTGTATGTCTAGCATTGCACAATTCCATCACACATGCAGCTCTGTAGGAGTCAAGGTTCCATTACCACAGGATCCCCTTATGTACCCTAGCCACATCCACACCCTCCTTCCATCCCTAACCCTTGGCACCATTAGCCATTCTCCATCCGTATTATTACATCATTTCACCAATGTTACATAAATGCAACTGTGTCATATGCACCCATTTAAGATTTTTTAGCTCGGTATAATTTACTTGAGCTTCACCCAAGCTGCTGCACATACAGCAGTTTCTTTTCAGTGGCACAGAACTGCAAATGTCAGTGTATCACGCCTTGTACAGATAAGGACTGTTTTGTGAGGCTTATTTCAATCATATATGCAGTATATAAAGTATGTACCAGATCATAAAACTTGTTACGGGTTTCATGCAAAAAATTTGAGAGCTGCTCTATCTTCTCCCTGCCCATTTTCTTCACAGCACTTACCATTATTTTAGACTTATTTAATGATGTTTAAATGTTTATGTCAGGCCCCTAAACTCAAATGGAGCTCTTTGAAGGCAACTTGCCCATTTCAAGAGTGCAATCCCAGAGCCAAAGGCCCCACCGGGCAGTGTAGCAGGTGCTCAGATGTTGGGAGTTAAAAGTTAAAACAGGAGCAGACGTAGGAACATTCTGTGCAATGATTATCTGTCACTAAGACTTCCTCACAGAGAGTGCATTCAGTGGTGGGCAGCCTCCAGCCCTAAATAAGCACATAGAGAATGTGGATCCCTTGTGGTGAGCCCTCAGGACTGCTGTGCTGGCTGCCACTGCAGCACCCCCCTCCCCTTGCCCGCCCCAGGAACCCCAAGGGATCATATGCAGATTGCAAAATTCCAATGTCCCTTCTGTTTCAGAGTGAAAAGAATGCCTGTAGCTCCCGAGCTTCCCACTCTCCTCCTTGGCTGGAAATGCTCCAGAAAGTAGCCACAGACACAAGGCAGATACCCTGGCTGACTCAGGTATCAAAACACCCACGCTGAGATAGGCTCTTCTTTATACTCACCCCTCTGCTCCTGGGCTCCTATGTGCACACCCCCCACCCACTCACAGGTACATGCAGTCACAGGAAAGGACCGTTGGGGGCCTGTGTGCAAACGCCCCTACCACTCAACGGGTACACACACACACACACAGGGAGAGGCTACTGGGGACCTATGTGTAACCCCCCCCCCACACACACACACCCTGGTACACAGAGTCACAGGGAAGGATCACTGGGGACTTGTGTGCACACATCCCTACAGCTCATAGGTACATACACAGGGAGAGGTTATTGGGGCTCTATGTGCAGATCCCCCCAAACTTAGAGGTATGTGCAGTCACAGGGACTCTTGGGTTAATACAGGATGATAGGGCAAAATCTAATTTTTAATTTGTGCCTTTCTGAAGTGATGGGATTATTTTGCCCCAAAAAATGAGTTAAAAGATGTCTGACCCACTGCCTGTGGCCAGGTTGGGGCCCAGTCGTGACGGGGGGCTACTAAAGTGGCAGCTTGGCCAGGAAGAAGCAGAGAGGCTGCGGAGCACACAGCCAGCCTCGCCCTCAGCACCATGCCACAGGAGCTGCTCTGCAGCCACGAGATGCTAAATCATTTCGTTAGTGATAAAAGGGCCTCTTCAAAAACTCGAGTTCTTGTTGGCTCATATGCATATATTTTAAAAACACCTACAGGTGTGTAAGTATACAAAATTCCCATACTCTTCTGAGCACAATAATGTCAGATGCTAAATCTAACAATCTCAACTATTAAATTGTGGATTTAATTTTCAGTCTGTCTGAAATCACATGTGTAAAATGGCATTTGAGATCATCTACATTTTCTAAAACCGACCAAAGGAAATTTTAAAGGAAGGAGACTAAAATTCCACGCACCCTGGGCTTGGGTTTCTTGAGCCAAGAGTCTATGATCCCGTTTAATGCGAGACTGTGTATTCTGTAGCTGTGTTCATTTCTTAAAAACCAAGAGGCCTATCTCCTACGAAGAGCAATGCCGCAGATGAACTTAGTGAGTGGGCTAATAACTCTGTGTAAGCACCAGGGGCTGGCAATGCATACTGTCACCAAGCCAAGACCAGGAAAGGTATTCCCCACAGCACGACCATTTAGTTACCTCATTAGGAGCCCCCCCCCCCCCCGCCCATGTGTCCACTTGGGTCAGGTCTACTGCTCAAGAGTTTACCTGAGAATGCTGTTGTCCCTGGGAGTGGAGCATGAACTGGCCTGACCTGGCTGCTCACTGGGATCTGTGGTGGTGTTTGGAATCCTGGGAGCTGTGCAGTGGGTGAGATTGTCTGCCAGAGCAAGGCAACAGCGCGGGTGGGCAAGGAGGGCTGGAGACCCCGGGCTCTGTGTTCTAAGCCGAGTGGAAAATTCAGGGACCCACTAGACTGAGCCGGTCACTGTCCTTAGGGCGACAGCCCCACTTGAAACAGATGAGAGGAAGCTGTTCCGGAGTGCTCATCACTGGTCTTTCTCCTCTTGTGGTAGAGGGAGGTGCCAGTCTGCAGGAGGGCTCTGCCTCAGGGCCCACACCAGGGCGTGCTTCTGTGTAGCCTGGACTCTTGCACGCTCGCTCTCACAGAGGGACCGCTGTGCAAAGGAGACCCCCGATCACTTCCAGCTCACATCTCCCCTGTAACTCCCTTCTCCTCAGCCCCCTTCCGAACAAGCTGGAAAAATGAAGCATAAGGCACATACCACTCCAGAACTTGGCTGCTTCTACCTAATAAACCTTGGCGATTATTCCATACTAAAACACAAAGATCTAGATCATTCCTTCTCCTAAGCTACTGTGAAAACTATTGTACAGATCACCATCATTTGAGTAAAGTTTAAAATGTCTTCTTCTGGGCCTTAGGACTTGATGCCTTCAGTTCAAACCTAATCAGATTTGCCTGCCGAGACCAGCATGAGGCCAAGCTGAGAGGAAAGACAAGAGTCTGAAAGAGTGGCCTCAGTGGGGAGGATGAGTAAGAGACACATGCTAAGGGAGCTCTGGACAGGGGAGGAGGAATCCAGACAAAAGACAATAGGACCACTCAACCAGCGGGCTTTTCTCTGCTACTCTCTTCCCAAAATAAACATGGGGCAGTACCTTATAACCATGAAAGGTGCACTTGGTAGGTGCCAAGCACTACGTTGGCCTTTTTACAGATAGAATTTCACCTTCTCTATCTCATTGTCTGTCTTTGCTCAAGCTCTACTGTCTTAAACAGAATGTTTTTGTTCTTACTTAAAAAGCAATCAGAAATGCAAAGGATATGAAAAACTCCCAGACCTCTGTCCCTGTGGTGAAACTAACAGCTTCCCCAACACAATTTTAGACCCAAATTTTAGTGCTAATAGTGTTTCCCTAAAGATGGAATAATCTACTGCCTAGTGTACTTCCATGGTTTATCACTAGGTATACTACGGATACCTTTCCCTGCCCAGATAGATTGCTATCTATTTTTTTTAATGGCTAAGTTGTACCCCACTGTGTGGAGGAAGTTACTTGATTACACGTCTACTAGCAGCATTTAGGATGCTTTCAGTGTTTGTACTATCATAGTGATGCAGCAGGTATTTTGAACTTTTTAAAAAAAGATTTTATTTATTTGACAGAGAGAGCACACAAGTAGGGGGAGCATCAAGCAGAGGGAGAGGGAGACTCCCTGCTGAGCAGAGAGCCCTACGTGGGGCTTGATCCCAGGACCCTGGGATCATGACCTGAGCTAACGGCAGACACTTAACTGACTGAGCTGCCCAGGCACCCCGGGTATTTTGAAGTTTTAAATGCACTGTTACCCAGTTACTTCCCAAGGATGGACTTCCAGAAGTAAAATAAGGAGGTCAAAAGGTATCCTTTTGACAGATAATCAGGATAAGTCAACACTCCACCAACACTGCACAAGGGCCCCTGACTCTCCAAACCCTTATCAACACTTCTGACATTTCACTGGGCAGAAATCACTTGTCATCTGACCTTATATACCAGGTCATTTAATTTTCTTTTTGAATGAATTCCTTCTTTGTGCCCTTTGTCCATTTTTTAAAAAGATTAAAAAAAAAAAAAACTTAACTTATTTGAGAGGGGGGTGAGAGAGAAAGCAGGAGCAGGGGGAGGGGCAGAGGGAGAATTAGGGAGCCTGCTCAGCAGGGAGCCGGACACAGAGCTCCATCTCAGGACCCTAGGATCATGACCTGAGCTGAAGGCAGATGCTTAACCAACTGAGCCACCCAGGCATCCCCTCTCCCCACTTTTCTATCCTGAAATCATCCCCATTTTTGTGATAAGAAAAGCTCTTACTGAGCTCTCCCTAAAAAAGTTATTAATTTCTTGCCATACAGACTATAAGCTATCTTTCCCAATTTTTTGATTTCCACTTATACTAGACCTGTCATCATTTTCTTTTATACAGAAGCTTGGTTTCCACATCTGTTTGTCTGTTTCAATAATCACATACATTTAAGCATGCTGAAGCAGCTGCCAGCCCTGCTGGATCTTCTTCCCCCTTCACCATGAGCACTGCACCCTCAAGCTTCTCTTCATGTCCCCATCCAAAATAGTTCCAAGGCACCACTACCTATTCTAGACTGGAATGAAAGTGCCAGAAGGGCAGGGGCTCTGTTCTCACCACTCCTCTATCTTTAAGAGCTCCCAACATGATAAATATTCGCTGAATGAATAGAAAACCAGAACTACCTCCTCACTGGTCTCTTTGGTCCTCCATAATACACTCTCCCACCCTGGCAGTCAGATTGATAAATATCTATACCTGTATATGTGTGTGTATGTGTGTGTGTGTGTGTGTGTGTGTGTGTGTGTATATATATATATATATATATATATTTTTTTTTTTTTTTTAAAGAGAGGGAAGGGGAGGGAGGGGTGACGTGGGAGACAGAGAGAAAGAGAGGGAGAGAGAGAGAAACCCAAGCACACTCCCTGACCAGCACGGAGCCTGATTCCACAATCCAGAGATCACAACCTGAGCCTAAATCAAGAGTCTGTCACCCAACCAATTGAGTCACTCAGGCACTCCCTGCCCCCATCCCCCTTTTCAAGTAGGCTCCATGCCTAACCTGGTACCCAGTGCTGGGCTTAAACTCCTGACCCGGAGATCAATACCTGAGCTGATGTCAACAGTCAGACGCTTAACCAACTGAGCTACCCACGGCCCTCAGACTGATCTTTTCAAGATATAAATCAGATCATGCTTCCCATGATCTGTAAACCCATCTTTAAGCCCCACCAGGTCCCTGGTACCTCTCTAGCCTCATCCCCTACCCCTCTATAGCCCACCGTCCTTCTGCTCCAAGCACCTGATCCTTCTTTGTGCTCCTCAGATGCGCCCCGCCCTGGGCTGGGTGAAGGCTGTTAAAGCTGGTTCCCGGTCTTTCAGGCCTCAGCAATATCAACTCCTCTGCAGGCCTGCTGAGGACACTAACGCTATTAGGGGATCCCTCCTCTCTCTCCAAACCACTCTACATTCTCTTCCTTTCTTTGTTCTTCAGTGTCTGAAACCCCCGTTGATATACTAATATTTGTTATTTCTCAAAAGGAAGGAAGCACAACCAAAGGGGTACCCAGACATCACTCCTCTCCAGCGCCCCCGGGTCTGGAACGTGGGGAGGGTGTGGTCCGTGCACTCGGACGCCGGGGCAATGCACCCCCACGGCCCAGCGCCACCCCCAGCTCCCCAGTGCACCTGGGCCTCCGCGCTCCGGCGCTCCTCCCACTCCCGGCAACTGGCCAGGTCGCGCCGCCACTGCTCGCAGGCCGGCCGTTCGCCGTGGACGTAGTAGTGGTGCAGGAAGTGTCTGGCGCTGCGGCAGAGCTTCCACTCCGCGCGGTAGACTTCGCAGGGGCGCGGCGGCTGCAGCGAGAAGCACGCCTGAGCCAGAAGCCGCCGCACTACCCGCCTAGGGACCTCCATCCCGCCCCTTACTTGGGAGAAGCCTCGGGTAATCCGGTCGTCCGGCCCAAGGAGGTCCCTGCACGTCTCGGGCTCCCCTAGCACTCACCCGCCAGCCTCCACCATCCGCCATGTCCGGGCGACTGCGGAACCCCGCCTCTGAGCTCGGTAGCCAATGAAGATTGAAGACAAGTCGTACCGTATGATAGACGGATAGGAACCAATGAACTCTGCGCTGTGACGCTGGACTCCTCCCCTACCTCCTTGAGACGCGCCAATAACAGCCGGGGGGCGGTGACGAGCAGAGGAGGTGCTCAGGACCGCCAAGGGGCGGAGCGGGCCGGGGTTTGCCAGGAGGTAGAAAGCACGGCGGCGCGCGGGCTGCGAGGATGAAGAGATGTCAGTGGCCCTTCTTCTGGTGCCTGGCGGGCCTCCCGGGATGCACAGCCACCTTGTTAGCTATTTCTGAAACCACGGGGTCCACGCCGGTTTTCAGCAGTTTTATTAAATCTCAAAAGATAGGGTTCGTTTTCATAAGCACATACTGATCATCGGCTCCGTGTGGCAAAGCTGTCAAGTCTGTGGATGCAGCGGACTCGGTGAGGGTGGCCCGCTGTGACCTGTTGGGAGTTGGGGTTCTAGGGCGCCGGATGATCTCCGGAGGGAACGCAGGCTGGTAGTGGAGGCGAGCGAAGGGTGTTCTGAGCACAGTGATGAGCTGGTCAAAGGCGTGGAGGCTGTGTGTGACACGGAGTAGAGGGGAGAACTTTGCTAAGTGTGGGGCGCCTTGCATGTCTGATTAGGAGTGAAGGCTTTACTCTGAGGCGTGGGAAGACATGGAACCTTTATAAAAAGGAGGTGACAGGAGGCAATAAAAGCAAAGAGGCTGGTGATCTGCGGAGGAGACCTGCAGTACCTACGCAGGGGTTCTCCAACTTCCACAAACTTAATCCTCCGGGGGGGAGGGGTGCTTACAACGCGGTTGCTGGGCCCACCCCAGTATCCAGACTGGGTCAGACTCCCTGACGGTGGGCCAGAAAGCTGCAATTTAACCAGGGGTCCTGCCAAGCTGGTTCGCAGACCAAGCTCGAACACAGAGAAGGCTGCAGGCCAGGGTGCAGCAGTAATGACCAGGATTTTTACTCTGGGTGACCCCTCCCTCCCGTTACCAGAAGCTCACCAACAGGATCCACCCCTGGCCCAGGCAGGAAAGTGTGGCTCAAGCAAAGGACCAGGAGTGTTTTCATTGCTCACACAGAAGATGTTGCTTAGGGAAGACAAAAACCCAAGGCCAAACAGCGTCTTACTGTAAAATTCATTATGCATCAAATGACACATTAGCCAATGTGATCCTGCAAATGGAGGCTGCCTACCCACCGAGGGGGGCTTCCACATCAGCTAGTGAAACAGAGACCCCTTAAGGGGAGGGTCAGGGAAGTCACAGCAGTGCTTCATGCCTGTTGAAACCTTGTCCATCATCAGTGGTGACCCTTTGAGCCATAGCTCAGCCCTCATCTTCATGACAATCACCTATGCTCTTGATCTGATGACATGTGGGTGGACCCTGGGCCACCATCCTGAAGGGAACATCCTCTCTTGAGTGTTGAGGGAGTTCTATCCAGAGACTGGATAGGATAGCAGGAGTCCTCCTACAAAAGGAGACCCTGTTCAGGCTGACCATCCCCAACGCAGGGGTCAGAGAGCCTCATCTCTCCATACATTCTCCAGAAGCCTCCCAGAGGATGGAACAAGGGACACCTGCAAGCAAGTCTTCCTCCAACTCCTGGTTGGTGGCCCAACCAATCCATGTTGATACCTAATCAAACATTTAGAGGCAATCCAGGTTTAATCATTGCCTGTTTTTATTTGAAATTCTTTATGTAAAACTCTTTTCAAGGAACAAAAGAGATTAAATTAGATTAACATGTCAAAAGAGCTCACATTATAGAAAGTGATCCGAGACCAAATTAATGCTAATAAAAAAGGTAGGCCAGCAGAACCTTGGATAATTTAATACATTAAAACTGGGAGTGGGGGGTAGGGAAGGAGAAAGAGGACTGTATCTTTAGCACTTATTTATCCTAATATTCCTATTTGTGCTTCATCATGAAGCTGTTTTACTGTAGAACAGATTCATTAAGGAGCTAATTATTTCCATATGAAATCAAATTACAAGATGAAATGTATTCAGATCAGGAATCCGCCTTCTGAAGAATGGTTCTTTGAGGGTGGGGAGAATATCAAGATGTAAAATAAAAATAGAAACACCCTTCCTCATACAATTGCAGCCAGAGTAATGGGATAACCACTATTTATAGAGCACGTATCTATTTAAGCCACTTTTTTTCTAGGCCAAAGGCAATGCTCTAAGCTATCGACCTGGAAAAGCAAGGAATAAGTGAAAAAAAGAGAAACACCTCAAGTTAGAGCAGTTCAATCCCCTCCATTGACTTCCATCAGGAATTAGGGAACTCTGCTTTGGCTAAGGCAGTGGGAGCAACCCCTCAAGGGCTGAAAGCAAGAAGGGGCGAGGAGGAGGCTGCCTGCCAGACCTGAGTGAGGTTTCTCCTTCCCCAAATCATCCACCGAGTCTGACTCTTCCACTTCCAGGTCACACACAGTAATTCTTAGGTAACTCTAAACAAAACCTAAAGTGACAGAGCATCTTCTGCAACAGTCTCATCCCCATCAGAGCCAGTAACTAAAAGCCATTATGTTGCAATTGATTATTTTATTTTCCAGTCAGCCAAGAGTCCCAACTTATGGCTTTCTTCCCTTTTTACGCAACGACTGTCCTTCTCCAGAGAAAGCGACGAATCTGCCTCCAGCTTCATCCTGAGTGTGAAGATAAAATACTATTTTCAGAAACTCCTTGGAGGCTTAGAATAAACACTTGATTTTGTTGACTCATGTGCCAGCCACCCATGTCCCTTACTTCCCTGTTATTCATAATACTTTGAATAATGGCTTTGAAATAGAAATCATAATCTACTCAATTAAGAAACGAAACCAGAGAATTATAACTATGCCTCGACCACATCCTTTATTCTCAGGTTGAATGTACGTCTTTCTGCAGAAGCACCGCCATTTTCAAAATGTAAAAAATGCAAAACACACCCCCAAAAGAAAAATCATCGATAACTCCACCATTCAAAAATATTTCCGGCCACTTTACTATATATGCTTATGTAAATTATTCCCATACTTCCCCAGTCTCAAGTCGATGAATTTCTTTTCTAGCATGCCCTAAAGGCTACAGAGAATTCCATCATCCGGGAGAGGTAGGCTTTCACCATTGGATATTACTTCCAGGTTGGGGTATTTTAAATTGCTGTGGTGAGCAGCTTCATGTGTTTGCACACAACTCTGATTTTTTTCTTGGAAGTGTTATTCTACCATAAAAGGCCTGCACAATTAAATTTTTTCTTTCTTTTTTTTGGGGGGGGTGTTGCACGTATTCTTAAGGCTCTCAATAATACGGTCACTAACAGGCCCTCAGAAACATTCTATTAAGCTATTTTCCCACCAACAGCAACAGGGCCTGTTTTTTTGCAACTGAGAATAGCAGGTACCTTTAAGGAGCTTATACTGCTAGTCAGTGAGAGGCATTCTCCACAGAAGGAGAGGATTTTGTACTCCCTGATACACAGCCCTGCACCTGCCCTGTCCCTCCCCCACACAGGAGTGAATCACTGGCAGGGCCTGCACACGGCTTTATGTGGTGGCAACCATGTACATCTGAGTCATAGCTGAGCCATTCAGTCTTCCTTTCCTGCAGAGCCTTCTGTTTGTCCCGCTGTCCCTGTGTCTGATTTTTCTCTTCTGCATACATTCCATCACAGCAGGCATCCTGCTGGTTGTGTCTGTTTGAAGGTATATCTCTGTGGGGACAAAAGGCTGCTCTGCCTGACTGGCCATCCTCTTGGTGCTGCGAACGGCTTCAGGGCTCCCTGTTTCCTGGATCTAGGTCTTTCTTATTTCTACTTTATGCCCTCATTTTAGTAGGGTACATCCTCCAAACACTTCCTGAGAAAGGGTGCTTCAGGAATATCCTTTTGTGAGATACTACATGGCTGAAAATCGCTTTTTCTCCTCTCATTTTCCCTGACAGGTTGACTGGTGTTACCATGCTAGGGCTGCCGTAACAGAATACCACAGACTGGGCGGCTGAGACAAGAGACATTTAGTTTTTCATAGTTCTGGAGAATGGAAGCCTAAGATCAAGGTGCTGACAGGGCTGGTTTCTTCTGAGGCCTTGCTCTTTGGCTTGCAGATGGCTGCCTTCTTGTGATGTTCTCGCATGGTCTTTCCTCTGCACATCCAACTTTCCTCTTTTTATAGGAAGAGTCAGACTGGGTTAGGGGCCACTCTACTGGCCTCATTTTAACTTAATTGCCTCTGTAAAGGTCTTATCTCCAAATACAGATCACATACTGAGGTGCTGGGGTTAGAGCTTCAACAAAGGATTTGGGGGAACACAATCCAGCCTATAAGAGCTGGGTACAGAATGTTTTAGAAAAGTTTCCTCTCAGAATTTTGGAGAAGCTACTCCATTATCTCCTAGCTTCCTGTATCCTGCGCTAAAATGATGCTGTTCTTAATCAGTGGTATAACCTCTTTTCTCCTTCTGGAAGCTTTAGATCTTTGCCTTGATAGGGGGCTATTTTCATTCATGGGCTGGACACTCAGAAGGTCCAATGCAAGGGCTGCAAACTCATGCCCTTGCATTGGGGAAAATTATTTTCCTGATGGCTCCTGACCCTTTGGTTTCTCTAATCTCTTTTCAGAACTCTTCAGAAAGTAAAAACTTTCTCGGGGTGCCTGGGTGGCTCATTGGGTTAAAGCCTCTGCCTTTAGCTCAGGTCATGATCCCAGAGTCCTGGGATCAAGCCCCGCATCGGGCTCTCTGCTCAGTGGGGAGCCTGCTTCCTCCTCCTCCTCTCTCTCTCTCTCTGCCTGCCTCTCTGCCTACTGGTGATCTCTGTCAGTCAAATAAATAAATTAAAAATCTTTAAAATTAAAAAAAAAAAGTTGTGCTAAAAAAAAAAAAAAAAAGAAAGTAAAAACTTTCTGACTGCAGTCTCCACACTGGGGGAAGTTGGCTGGGACATTCCTCAGGGGTTGCCAGACTATCCAGAGAAAGCTCCTCCAACTGCAATGAGCAACCCTGGCAGCCAGCGTGGGAGGCAAGCAAGGGAAGGACACCAAGGGCAACAACAATTCAGAATTCACTCATTCTTTTAATTCTGTCCTGCTATCCACTGTGTTGATGGCCCCAATTTAGGGACCTGCCATAATGCCTCTTCCAGAAGATAAGCCTCCAGCCTTCTCCTGGGGTCAGGCAGGTACAGCCCCATGGTGGGGAAGGGTGCTGCGGTTCTAAGTTCTTTGTGACACACATTCCATCTTTGGCCCCCCATTTCCAGAGGTACCTTTCAGGATCTACTATCTAAACCAATTGGCCTTTTGGCTTTCTCCACAGGCAGCTCAGGATGCAGCTTCCATGGCCTGTGGTCTGTTACCTCTTGTCCTTCTGTTCTGGGGCTTTCAAAGTTTTGTAGCAATTGCCTCCTCTTTTCATCAATGTCTTTATTACATTATTACCTTGTGCCACAGCTTTAGTGGGGGTTCAGGATGGGGTAGAGCTAAGTGTGTGCCTTCAATCCCATCGTCAGCCGTACATTCCTTCTGGACTGGACTTATGGATTAAACAGCTCCAGCTATGGCTGCCAGCCTTGGCCTCCCTTCCCCTCATCTCCCACAGTCAGGTCACAAGTCAGCCTGCAAGAAGCCCATGCTGAGGCCTCTAGGCCTGAGGTAGCAAGCCCCAGCCTGTAGCTGGCAAAGGCCTGGAAAGGCACTCAAGGAGGAATCAGAGGCTGAGGTCTCATTGAGGACCACACTTGTTTCCCTGAGCCTGGACGTTCCCCAAACGCCCCCCAGGTAGAGGGGAAGAGTTCAGTGGTCAAGAGGCTGGTGATGGCCCAGCAGGCAGGAGCTAGCCAGTGACTGATCCTGTTTAGCCGCCCATCCTGAATAGGCTCACAGAACATCTGCCCTCTAGCCTACCCTAGATGCCCAAGAGACTGAGCCTTTGAGAAGAGGAACCAAGAGAGTGGTGGATCTAAAGTGTTGGTGTTCTAGAAATACACAGCACAATGGCCATGGCTGCTGGGTGGTGTGGGGCATCTGCAGTAGGGTGTGCTGGGTTTTCTGAGCTGATTTCCAACACTCGGAAGAAGTGCCCACAAGTTGGGAACGTACCCTTTGCAAACACCTGTCCCAATCTGCAGCCTTCCCTTCCTGTAACAGGGAATTTCTGGGCCAGGGGAGGCCATGTCTAGAGGGTGGTGGCATAGAGGCGGCCATGTCGTGATCAGGAGCTTGTCTCTGTGGCCTGGGTGCCCTCACCTCCACACACCATCATGCTCAAATCTGTAAAAATGTGGATAGTCACAGCAGCCACCTCAAGGGATGGTGCTGGGGATTAAACAGTTAAGTACAAAGCACCAGCATGGGGCCTGGCACTTGGGTGAGAACTCTGTGAGCTGGTATGACGCTGATCACCACTACCAGGTGTCACCAGAGCTATGGCCTGTGCACACCCCTAACACAGCCTTAACAGGATAATCAGGGTACCAGGGAGAGGGGAGCCCCAGGCACGGGGCAGTGGGGGGGTGGGGATATGACAGAAACGGATATGACAGAAATGGCCTCATTCAGAATGGGAAGAACTCTCCAGTCATCGGTAACAAACCAAACTTCTCATTACCAGTGAAATAAACTCACCTCTTCAACCTTTTTGACCAATGGACGTGAATTTCTGATGAAAGTGATCTTACCCAGTTTAAATTCATAATTGGGAATTCCTCTGTGAAGGAGAGGAAGGAAAAAATGGAAAAATGTTAGTTGTGGGAGAAAAGAATTGAAGTTCGTTCCTGACCATCGAGAGAAAATCAGGCAGAAAGAGGCAAGCATCATCCTGGTGACTCACTCTGGGCTATGGCACTGTACCCATTCTGGGCTTGGCCAGCCCTCTGGTGCTTCCCAGCCTCCTTTCTGAAGTAACCAGAAGGCAACTGGGGCAGAGGCCTGTGGACCTGATGCATGGCCTGCTGTGGAGGATTGGGGGGCCCTTACCATCTCTGTCCTCTAGTCTCACAGACCCTGCAAGGGCTATATTCTCATTAAACTCTTTATGCTCTCTTAAGAGACTGGGTAAAAACCCACACTTCCAGGGGAGCCTCACTGGCTCAGAGGGTCAGGCATCTGCCTTCACCTCAGGTCATGATCCCAAGGGCCTGGGATTAAGCCCCATGTTGTGCTTTCTGTTCAGCGGGGAGCCTGCTTCTCCCTCTCCACCCAGCTTGTGTTCTCTCTCTCTCAAATAAACAAATAAAATCTTAAAAAAACAAAACAAAACACACCAAAAAAAACACACACCCAGCATTCTCCTTCTGCTCTAATACACGAGATAGACAGGTGACATATGTCATCCCCACCGCCTCCATGACAGCCGCCAGAGCAGGAAACCTGCTCTGAGAGTCCCCGAGCCAAATGACAAAAAACACATTAAGGCAGCTCCGGCCTCCTGTTCGAGGGAAGTTGACATAATGGGACTTGATCAATTATTGGAAGTCACAAAACAGGAAAATAGAGAGATGACTAAACAGGAACCAGAAAGACCTGAAACAGCAGGGCAAGCTGATCAGGTACCACTTGGAGGTGGGCGGAGGCTGGACCGCAGTGGGAGGCTTGGTGAATGAGGCAGGGCACCGATCTCCTCCCCAGTGAACCCCCGCCGGGAAACACGGGCTCAGGTGGTGCTTGGGCCCACTGAGGAGAGCAGGCAGGGGCCAGTCATCCACACCACCAGCCTCCTTGGTCCAGGCTTTGTCTCCGGAGCTTGAGTGAGGCAACCCTGGCTTAGGAACCTGGCACAGAGTCTCCCTAGAGGATGACAGAAAACCCACCTTTTGATGTCTCCAGGCTTGACTGGGGAGGGGCTGGGTTCTACACCTTTCTTCTTTCCATCCAGTCTATTCCCGGAGCCAGAGAAGGCCTAGATGAGGGAGCAGGAGAGTGCGAAAGAGCTGGTGAGCACACACACATCCTGTGCCAGAGACTGATGCCAGGATGTATGGGGGAGGTGCTGCCCAGAACCGTTAGGGACTGAAGCCCTCACTCCCCAGCTGCTGGAGTACAGTAGGCCAAGAACTTTCCACCAGCCCCTCAGGGGATTGCTGTGAGATGAAAGGAGCCTACTGCTCAAACACAGCCACCCTACACGGGCAGCCAGTAGCTAAGGACAGGTTGAAGGTTCTGGCCCTAGCCTCTGCGGGACCAGCCAGTTCAGTGCCCCAAGGGTGGGCGAAGGCCTCTGTTGCAGCTGCCACACACAGCTCAGCTCCGCTTTCCAGGCCTGACTCCTCTGCCGCCTCCCAATACCCTGGTGCCAGAGCCCTGGTTATCTCCACCTGCTTCCCAGGGAGCCTAGCTGGGCGCAGTGCTGGGAGGTCACGCTGCAATTTCCTTTCAAAGAGTCATGTTCTCAGAGATAAAGCAGAATGTGCTCCCCTCTGGTGAATATAAGTGAAGGGTGTATGTGTGTCCTATTTTAACTTTTTGGTAGGTTAGAAATCTTCAAAAAGAAGAAAAATTGGGGCCTGCCTTATAGAATTGTTTGGAGGATTCCAGGACAAAGTGGATGTGAAGGACCATGTCACCGAGAAAGCACCAGATACGTGAGTGCACAAAAACCGCATCCCTGCAGAGGAACCCAGATGGCACGGTGGGAGCACAGAAATTGAAACTGTGGCCTGGTACTCACACGGAAGCCCAGCTCTCCGGCATAGCCACTGTGGTCAGCTTCACCCTCCTGACGGGGACAGAAAGATGGGTGATGAGCCTCTCATTGTTACTGCTATCCCTGCACCCCCAACAGCTGGGACGTGCTGTCCCCTAGGAGCAGGGCACGTGGCCGTGTCAGCATCAGCAGAGGGCAATCGCGACATGTCCATTGCCACAACACGCGCGGGACACCCTCCCACAGAAGCCCCATCACTGAAGAGGGCAAACAGCGCCAGGGCTGCGGAGGGATGCCGGACAAACGACTTACAGTAGACTCCTCATGCTGGACTTGTCTTTCGGGCTCCTTATAGCCCAGTGGGGCATCGAAGTCCACCTGTGGTCCCAAAGGGAAGAGTACAATTTTGAGATACAGGGGTACTGAGGCTTCCTTAGCATTTGTGTTTTCACTTGAGACAACCATAGGTTCACATGTGGTAGCAATGCGACAGAAAGCTGCCCCTGTATACTTTGCCCAGATTTCCCCAATGGTAACATTTTATAAAATCACAGAGGATCACCACCTGGATGGCAATAGTGGCACCGTCCTGCCCTCCCATTCAGATTTCCCACTTAAGTTCTCACTGTTTTATCACAAGTTTAAGTCAGTGTCTCCATTGCCACAGTTGAGATACTGGATCGTTCCGACCTCAAAGGGACCCCTCAAATTGTCCCATTATAACCACACCTGCCTCTCTCCTGGCCTGCTCCTGACGCCTGGCAACCACCACCATGTCTTCCATTTCTAAAATCCTGCTGATTTCAAGAACGTAGCTAACAAATGGAACCAGAGAGAATATAACCTTCTGAGATTGTCCCCTCTTGCTTGGCAGCGTTCCCTGGAGACCCATCAGGCTGCTGTGGGTACCAATAGCTGCTTCCTACACAGACGCTGAGTAAGCTTCCTTGGATTTCCAAAATATCCACGCTATGGCATGTCTGCAGTGCTGGTGAGTGCGGCCACCTCAGAACTGGCTACAGCTTTGCCACCTCGATTGGCCGCAAGTAGGTCACCAGGTCCACAGCCTCCTCTCAGTGTTCTGGTATCACCTCCTTCTGCCTCTGTCACCCACACTGTCCCAGGGGCTGCATGACACCCTGGTGGGGCACTGACTGCCCATCTTCCCCTGGCCCAAGCATACTGCAGGCAGCAGAGGTACTCACGTTCATGTCACACTCAATGATAGACACGGCCTTGTCAGGCTTCGTCTCCATCACCCGCAGCTCATAGATCTGTGGGCAAAACACAAAAATCAGGTGCGTGGTTTCGTGGGCTGTCCCCACTCACGTTACTGCGGCCCCCTGCCTAGCTCCTGTGGACATGCTGTTCACCTCCATGACACCCTCCCCCTGCCACCACCTCTTGCTGTGACGAGGGGACTGGCTGCCTGCTTGGATACCTTCCCATCACTCAAAAGAGGTTGTTCCCTATAAGTAGTTCAAATCAGGTAGGGTAGTTATGCATCAAATTGCAAAAGACACAACCTTTATCCCAGGAAGTTCACGTCCAGGAATTTATTCCGAGTAAATAATTAGCTAAACAGCCCAAGAGAAAATTCTGAGACGGCTCTCTCCAATATGACTAATGATAGTGCGTGCTCAAAATACCTACCAGTAAATCAGTTAAATGAGTGTTATTTGTTCATATATAAAGAAATTAAGTCACCAGTGGAATACTATGCAGCCAACAGGAAAATAAGTTTAAAGACCAGTCACACTGCTGTGTGTCCGAGTCAATCTCAAGTATGTAACAAACATAAAAAAGCCCTGAAGGGCAAGAGTTGAAAGTGGCGGAATCTGCTTTTTCCTGCATTGTTTTTGTTTTTTTAGCTAGGGTATGCCTTGCTTTTCTAAAGAACAGTCTGAAGAGTCCCACCATTAAAAAAAAAACCCTAAACATTAATGAAGTGAGAGGGTTTTGTGTCCCCAGCCTGTTTTCTAAAATTTCCTCATGGGGCCCCTGGGTGGCTCAGCCAGGTAAGCATCTGCCTTTGGCTCAGGTCATGATCCTAGGGTCCAGTGACTGAGTCCCAGGTCCGGCTCCTTGCTCAGCAGGGAGACTGCTTCTCCCTCTGCCCCTCCCCCACTGCTTGTGCGTGCTCAATCTCTCTCTGACAAGTGAATAAATTAAACCTTTTTAAAAAAATAAAGTGTCCTCATTATTTATTGAAGATAAGCAGCAAGGCATGCGTGCCACTGTGTGGATATAACCCAGTTTCTCCACTCAATACCTGGGCTAACTCCACCAGTTTGGCCATCCCGTCTACACCACCACCAATACTGCCAAGATATCCGTCAACGCTGGGGCCACAAGTTCTCATTTTGGTACAGTCGTGCTTTCAAATTGAAGGTCACAGCTGATTAGTGGGCCATAAAGCCAACTGTGTCATAACCAGAGCTGGTAAAGAAAAATTTTGCAAGGAGCACAACAGAAATACTAGACTACGTTGCATGCAATAAAGAGAAATTCTTGTGACTTTTTTTAGTTTTTTCTGTGGTCATGCTGCCTCTAAAACAGTCATTTTATTTATTATTTATTTATTTTTAAAGATTTTATTTATTTATTTGACAGACAGAGATCACAAGTAGGGGGAGGCAGGCAGAGAGAGAGGAAGAAGCAGGCTCCCTGCTGAGCAGAGCCCAATGCGGGGCTCGATTTCAGGACTCTGGGATCATAACCTGAGCTGAAGGCAGAGGCTTTAACCCACTGAACCACTCAGGCGCCCTAAAACAGTCACTTGAAACTGTTTTTAAACATTCAACACATACAGAGAGTTTCTAGTTATTTTTATTGAATGAATATTCTCTTGGAGTGCAAATAGAGAACACTTTCATTCTTCTTTTCCAGTATTTGGGATGTCCTTGTTTCAGGTTCACATGTTAAATATTATTTCTGCTTTATGTGGGATGTTTACCAAGATTTACTTCGGGACAGGAGAGTGTGTGAAGGGGCAAGGAGGCAAGGAGCTGGCCTTGGGGAAAGCCGAGCAGGGGCTGTGGTCACTCCCGAGCACCAGGAGGTCTGCTCTGGCAGCAACTCCACGAGGGTCACCATCCACAGTCATAGCGGGTGAGGGTGTCCACATGGTTGTGCTCCATGCCTGTGGCAAGATGGGGAAGGGGCAGGCTTGCCAACTATGACAGCTCTCCTCCGCCTGTTGCCACAGATAATGGGGACGTGGATAGCGTCTTGAATTTTGTGTCGCTTATACAGGACACAAATGAGAAACGGGAGGACAAGAGACATTGTCTAGATCTAGAGAGCTAGGAAGCACTGAATCACAGACGAACATATATGGTATTCAGACCCAAAAGATTCATATCCCAGGGGAGCTTCCAAGGGAAAACCAGGGCTAAAGAAAACAGGAGGAAGAGGACGTGCCCCCATGAGAAGGAGAGGTGATCTCATGTAACACTGTCTGTAGGCAGAGCCAGGCTCTACTTTCCCTGTGCCCCACAGGACTTGGGGCATGTTGTAGGGGGCCAGCTCCTCAAATCACAAGGACAAGGACCCAGGCTGCTTTGTTTCTGTGTCCCCAGACCAGCAAAGGGATTAGCTCAGATTATGGGTGCAGTGAAGAGCTTCCTAACAGAGACACAGTCAACACTGCTGGCATCATGGGACGCAGACACATAATTAATAACGTGAAGCTCAGGCACCTGAAAATGCAATCAATCAATTCTCGAAACAGAGCTGATGAATGAATTACTACAGGACACTAAACATGAACCCATGGGGACTTAAACAAGCAAGGAGCAGACAGCCATCATGATAAAAGCCAGGCATACTCTGCCTAAAAAGAACCCCCATTCAAACCCCAGAATGGACACTGTTGGTCCTCACTGGCTGTGACCTCTGCTGACCAGGACTCCAGGCCCTGCTGGCCCCATGGTGGAGATACTCACCTTCTCATTGTAGTTGATGGCAATCACGTCCCCTGTGGTCAGACAGGCAAAGTTTCTCAAGGCGTTTTCTAATCTGCAGACACACACTGTCAAGGTAACATGGCAACATGGGCACCTCAAATCTGAAACAAGTTCCATGAGGGGTTTAGATAATCACTGTCATTAATTTCTACCACACAGACAGTGGGATATGACTCAGCAATCATTATGGAAGGGTAAGCTCCTAGCACGGATGAATCTCACAAATGCTGCTGAGGGAAAGAACATGCCACAAAGTGTTCCCTCAAGAAAGGCAGCTCTCTGAGGGCCAGGAGGCAGTGGGAAGTTCCCAGGGCTGGAGGTCGGGTGAAGATGGGCAGGCAAGGGCACAGAGGACCTCTTGGAAAGATGGAGACGTTCCGGATATACAAGTGTTCCCATTCATCAACCCATCACACTGTGCATTTTACTGTATATAAACTATACCTGAACAAGTTGATCTTAAAAATCCCATGGGAGCACAGAAGAAAAAAAGACAGAGTGTATGATAAACAGGCCCCCTCAAAAATCAAAAATGTTCTCTGACACTTTCATTGTTTCTATCTTTTGGGCGGTAACCCAATTTTAGGGGTATGTTTAAAGAGGAAAATTTAAAAAAAAAAATTAGGAAGGAAAAAGTAACCTATAAACTTTTTTCCTAATAATAATTAATAAGAATGTCTTAGAAACTGAATAATCCAAATGCCCAGGCGAGGGAGTAATGCCTATTCACACGGAATATTTTTACCACGTCATCCTCATCAATTCGGAGGATTATTTTAAATAGAAAGGTCACATATACACTGTGGCTCCAGAACCCAGCACTGGGACATGGGACAGCATGTGAGGCTCTCAGAGTCTCACGGAGGGTACAAGACTCAGCCTGACTAGAATCCCTACTCTTCCTCTCACCCTGTTTCTTACTCAGAAAGCCTTCCAAGATGAGAACAGCTTTGTGTAAAGGGTATTCTGTGCATACTGTCTTTGTCCCCTTGCATAAAATGCCACGCTGTTGGGGTGCCCTGCCCTAACTCCCCTGGTGGCCCTGTGAGGCAAGAGGCACTGAGCTGTCCCAGCCAGCCCTCCGGGCTTCTGGGGGTGGAGCTGGCCTCTGCCTCACAGCTCTGTGTGCCCTCAGCCTCTGGGCTGAGTCTGGCTTTTACTATGAGTGTCTCTATCCTGTCAGCCAGCCCGGGGAGCACCACACTGCCTCTCAGCTGACAAAGGGGACACTCTTTCTCTATGGGCTAAAAAGTTAACCATGAGGCTCTAGAAAGAGCCTCTGAAAACCGTGTGGTAATTCTATGTCGAAACACAGATGAAAACCAGAGAAAAACCGTAAGGGGCTGCAGTCACGGAGGCAGACACTTCCGGGCCCCGCCAGGCAGGTGAGTATATCCAAGGCGGAGCTCTGAGGTACCCGGGCAAGCAGATCTTGCCACAGGATGTCATCCTACCTGTAAGTCTGGAAGCATTCAACAGTGAGTGCCAGTGAGCACAGCTCCCCAGACCCCCACCATGTCCAGGGCCCTGTCATAGGGGACTTGACAGGCTTGTCCACAGACATGGTCAGCAGAAGACAACACAGTGCACCCACATCCAGGACGTGGCCAGCAGCAGGCTTGCTCCCGGGTTTGGGGTGGGGACGGGGCTGTGCAACCGGGGGGAGGCAGTGGAAAGAGACTTTTTTTTTTTTTTTAACTGTCTACCTATCTGTATTGTTAAATTGTGTTTTTTTCAAGCCTTTTAAAAACAGGCAGCAGAGTGACCGCTCTGTAACATGATGTGAATAGCCAAGGTGGAGCCTCCAAGCCAGAGGTCTAGACCATAGAGGACTCACAGCATGCCCCTTGCCCACGCCGGTTACTCCTTTAATTATCAACACACATGTCTGGCTTACGTTCAGAGACTATACCAAAAACCACTAAAACCTATAATCTTTTCTTTCTTCTTGATGACAGAAAATGTACTCTGTCAATGCTCCCCACTGGTTTGGAGTGCAAAGGGTAAAAGGTGGGTAAAAGGTGAGGCTGAGAAGTGCTCATGGCTGAGGTGGGGCACCAGGGGCCCACTGGGGTAGGGCCTGGAGGGAGAACAGCCAGCCTCCTTCCACCAGAGCACACTGAGCTTTGTGCCAGGTACCCTAGTCCACCTGGAGGAAGGGCTCCATTTTGCCCTCAAAGAAGTGTCTGGAAGAGGCCCGCCGTAGAGCTCCTGGCAAGATTGTCCAGGGCCAGGCCGGGGTGGACATGCTGGCCAAATACCCTTCTTCTCAAACCACAACTTCAATCACAAACAAATGTGTGGTCCTCAAAGCCAGCACATGGTCATCAAAAAGCTCGCTTTTTACCAACTGCCGGCACACCCCTCCTTTGTCCAGAAGAATCCTTCTTATCGCAAAAGGATACACTGCTTTGGGGTTGGTGATGTCCAGGAAGTCAGGGCTCTGAGGCTGGAATTTGGAGTACGTGGCCACTTGAAGGTTGACACTCTCCACCTGAACCAAGCCCCCTTCTTCCAACAGCAAATTCTGCATCATCTAAAGGAAGAAGGCGGCTACATGAGGCTCTTGGAAATGGCCCGCGTCAGCGCCGTCTAACCACACATATGGCAGGCCCAAGTCCAACATTCAGACGGCCTCATTCTTGGGTCACTGGAAGAGGAGTCTGAGATGAGGACTTGAGGACAGGTAATCTAACCATAATTTGACATTAGGAAAGAGGACAAAGCAAGCCAGGACACAAGTCAAGGACATGAAAGGAAGGCCTTGGAGTGCTACCAGGAGGCTGCCGCTGGCAGTGTGGGTGTCTCTGCCAGCCTCTGAATAAAGATGGTCCACTGGAAGGGTCACGTAGAAGGGACAGCTACCAGTGCTAGGTCTCTTACAAGCAAAGTGTTTCCCCATGGAAGTTCACCGCCCCTACTCCTTGAGCTATCCCACATCCAACTTACAAGGCCTTGGGGTAAACGGCTGCAATGGAGGCAGGACAGTGATGACATCCAGTGGGCTCACCTCACATGGAATGGCCCCCTAGCTAGGGCACAGGGCAGTGACGAGCCCTCAGAGGCGTCTGCTACAGGGGGTCATATAAAACCGACAAGACAACCCCACACCTCTATGTAATTGTCCTGTGTGGTGGATGCTGGCTGAGAAACAAGGTGCAGAGAGAAGAACATAGGCCTGTGAGTACCTGGTGGGCAGGAAATCAAGACACCACAACCAGGCTGACACTTGGGGGTCAATGAGGGTAGGCCAGAAATGAGAAACCCTGCATGTCTTGGAATGTTTTTTTTGCTTTTCTTATCTTAGATCCCCCCCCCCAGATTTATTTGAGAGAGAGAGAGAGAGAGAGAACGCGTGTGCACATATGAGTTTGAGCAGGGGTAAGGGCAAGGGGAAAGGGAGAGAGATCTCAAGCAGGCTGTGTGTGAGCGCAGAGCCTGATGTGGGGCTCAATCCTACGACCATGAGATCATGACCTGAGCTGAAACCAAGAGTTGACCTCCTAACCGACTAAGCCACCCAGGCGCCCCTTGGAGGTTCTTACAGAGAACTTCAAACATATAAAAGCAGAGAATGGGGAGGGTGTCTCGCTTGCTCAGTCAGTAGGGCATAAGACTCTTTGATCCACGGGTTGTAAGTTCGAGCCCCACAGTGGGTTGTAGATTTAAAAAAAAAAAAAAAAATGCAGAACTGCATGAGCCAGCATCTACACACCCACCCCTGGCTTCAACAGTGATCAACAGTGATCAGTGACCTTGGTTCCTCAGTCACTGCCCCACTTCCCGGCCCCATCCCACACTGGGCTGCCCTGGAGCTGGTCCTGGGCATCATATCCCCTCAAGAACACTTAACCCAGATGGCACTGTCAAATAGCACTGCTGACCACAGAGGCTCCACAGAGGTAGTTAGAGGAGGAGACTCTAAAGGTCCAAGGACAAGATGCACATAAGAGGAAGGAAGGCCAAGGCCAAGGTGGGCAGAGGTCATGAGCAAAGCTGGAGAATGAGTAGGGCCCCGCAGACAAGCCTGCTGAGGTCTCCACAAACTCTCATTGGAAGGGTGCTCACCAGGCTGGAGAGGCAACAGACCTGGTAACTGGGACATTCGGTGACCTTGGAGAGGGACGTTTTCCTGGGAAGTGCTGTAAGGACAGGCAGTCAGTCTGTTGCAGCCCAAGCTCACAGTCCCTTAGGGATTTCCTTGGGAAATCTGCCACTGAAGACAGAGGTTAACCGATGGCTGGAAGAAGGTCATAGCCATTGGCAGCTCAAGGAGGAAAGGCAGGAGCCCGGGTACCCTGCTTGTGGTTGAATCAGCAGGCTCAGACAGGACTTTGGGGGGGAAGTAGTTGATGGAAGACCCCGACGGCAGGGAGGAGGCTTGCTCCAGGGCTGGCCTGCTCCTTGTGTGCACAAGCCCCTGGAAGGCACCGGTCACCATGGAGCACAGGCAGTATGACAGTCACCTCGCAGTAGGCATCCATCCACACGCTCCCAGTGTCCTGGGCAGGATCTTGGTCTAGGCCAATAGATGAGGCCTCAGGTGCTAGAAGAAAGTCCAGCATCTGTTCCAGGCTGACTTGCCCTGAAGAAACCTGGGAGCTCCAGGTGGGACGGAGGCCCTCAAACAGCTAACAGAAGACCCCTGCTCACATACCCACTGGGGGTGGAAAGATCCTCAGGCTGGCTCTGATCCCAGCAGTAGCTGGGAAACCCCAGGCCAACTATCCACTCTGGGCAAGAGCTGGAAGACCAGCCCAGATAGAAACAGGTCCACGTTATCTAAAGAAGCCTCCCAGGGGATACAATATTCCTCAACAAAAGGGATCCAACCAGTTTTCTGATCCAAAACGGTCTGAGAGCCTGGACAAGGGGCCACCCAAAACCCTATATCTGTACGGTTTTCCCCAGGTTACTGTCTCCTCTTTTACCTCTTCGTAAGAGTCACAAAGGGGCTCTGAGGATCGAGAATGACCTGGGGAAGTAGTCAGTGCCCAACACTTCAGCCACCTACAGCACTCTATCTGATGAGTAGGACAAGGCCTCGTGCCCATGAGGGGTACCTGTAAGCCCAGAGGACAATAAGGCAAGGTTTTGAGCGGCAAGTGCTGGGAAAGCAAGTGAACAGGGAAGCAAGTTGAGTCTGGGCTTTGAGGCATGAGTAAAAGCTCCTTGGGGGACTGAGGCTAGGAAAACAACATAGGAGAGGTAAGGCAGCAAGTGAGATGGGAGAGTAGAGTTCCTGGTAGGGAGGGGGCTGGCCAGGCCTAGCACTCAGGAAGAACCCAGGCTCAAGAGAAAGTCTGAAGGCAAAAAAGAGAGGCTTTGTTTCTATGGCAAGGAAGTGATGTGCTCTGGAAGGACTCAGTTACAGACAAGCATGGAAGCACATGAGCGTGTACATACCCACGCGTGACAGAACTGGGGAGAAATTAGTAGAAGTGGGAGCAAATGTATTAAAACATAGAACTCGGTACTCAGACCACTTCAAAAATACTCCTGCTCTATTATTTTTACAAAAGCCTTACCCAGGAAATGGCAGGTAAAGAGCATGGCTGCGGTTTCTGGGCTATTGGCTGATCAACTATCAAAGAAAAGGCCATCCCCCAGCACACAAAGCCTTGCTTTGCATCCCATCCTTGTAGTCCTGACACACACTGGGGGCTACCCTCCTATGGGGCCCCAATCCTGAGATAGGCCCATAGATTCTCAGAGACCAGCACGGCCCCACTCACCCAGTGCGGGAGGTAGCAGATGCCCTCGTCGGCCACGAACTCCAGCACACCGCAGTGCGTCATGCGGTCGGAGTTCTTGTTGGTCAGTTTGAACAGCATGGGGTAGGTAATGTTGAGTCGGCCTGAAAAGGAGAGAGAGGCTGAGGCACAGCTTCTGTGAGGGAGAAGTTCTATTCCCCAAAGGTGCTCCTCTGAAAATCAGCCTCCCTGGGTGCCCTCATGGCTCCACAGGGCCTAGTTCCCCAGAGCAGGCAGACCCACAAGGCACTCAGGCCCCTGGATGCCTGCCCACACTTCTCCCATGCACGTCACCTGGCCCAGAGCGCAGGAAAGTTTGGTCACCTGGGGATACAGTACTGGCTTACGCTTGAGGCTTTCGGAAATCCCAACTTTAAAAAGTAATATGGTAACTCATGTGTTTGTAAATAATTTAATTGCCAACCACATGTTGGACAAAAACCCCACCTGCAGAGGTTTCTAGTTAGAAAGGTGGGTAGGAAAGAAACACGTGCACCGAGATGCTGTAGTGCAGTGGGAAGGGTGGCATCGGGGAGGCAGCACTCCTACGGTCAGGCCTCCAGGTGAGTCCTGGGGCAGGCCAGCTGGGGAGGGAAGGCCAGAGAGGAAGCAGCCTGAACAAAGGCATGGAAGGAAGGGGAGCCCAGGCAGTTTATGAATGGCTGGCCATCAGGTGAATGGCTGGCCATCAGGTGAGACTGGGGTGAGTGTGGTCAGGAGGAGAGGGAGGCTGGGCCAGACACTAGGCTGGGTGGGAGCATTTGTCAAAGTGGGCTCTCAGCAAGGTCACGACACAGTACGTCCCCTCGCTCTAGTGGTCCGGAGACCAGGCTGCACGGACAGCCAGAGGCAGGCAAACCCAGGAGGGCAGGAGGTACAGGCAGTGTGAAGCAGGAGACCCAAAAGAGTCAGGGATCTGGGGATGGGTCTGGCACAGACTGATGCAGTGACAAGTAACAAGCGTTTGCTACATTCCAGGCTCTCGATTACTCTTTCCAGACCAGTGAGGTAAGAACGACCGTTACTCCTTTTATCTATGGGGAACTAACGTGCCCAGTCAGCAAGAAGCCCAGGAGCGACAGCGCTGGGATTCAACCCAGGCTGCCGGCCCAGGTCTGAGGCTTAACCACCGAAGCTCACTTTAGCTTGTCAGCTTAAGCAGATGTGGCCACAAAAACTTCATTCAGTGGCAGGAGGTATGGCAGACTCCCCCTGGGATCTCCCTGAAAATTATGGTGATGCAGATCAAGTAAGAAGCTTGGGCAGGAAGCCAGAGACAGGGGAGAAGAGGCTCCAGAAGTGGCAGCAGTGGGCGTGGGTGTTCTCGCCCCATCACCAAGGGTGACTTGGAGGCTGGAGTACAGTGACCAAGGGCCCAGAGGCCAGGGCTTCTGTCCCCACTGCACCTGTCAGCTGCGGAGTCGTGAAGCAGAACAGTGGTCACTCAGGGCTGTGAAGCAGAAGTTCCAGCCAAGGAGCCAAGATTCTTGTGGTTGGAAGAAACCCCTGTGCTCCTCAGTCTGGTGGTTTTTACACCACATTTTCTGATTTAGAGAAGCGCGTTGGGGCTCCTGAGCCTTCTGCCCATCTCACCTCCTCCAAACTGAGCAGTGACCCTTTTATAAATGAAGACTCTCTGTAAAATTTCGTTTGGACAAAATTTCTTCCATGACTTAAAGATCCAAACGCTGATCTAAGCCCCCTGTCCCAATCCGTGTCTCTTCTCAGACACCTGTAACAAGGGTCACACCTGGCACTCAGTGCCTGGCTTAGCTCAAATGGAAAGGCAGGCTCTCTGGGGGGCCTTGTTTCCATTTCTGTGATGGGGCTATGAACCCCATGGGTCTGTTAACCCCCTGGCTGCACAGAGGCCAGAATTACAGGCCTCCACCAGGTGTGGCCACTGCCACTGCCAGCACTGATTTAGCCCTGCCGGCTAAAGGCGACCTCCTGCCTTAACTGGTGTCACATGGGCTTGGGCTATTTACACACCTCCCACTGGGCACCCTCTCGGGAGGAGGAACTCCTGCCATACAGAAGCTTTGACAGGTGGCTGCTGTGTGTCCCTGTTTAAAGATGAGAATACTGAAGTTCAGAGGCCAAGTCACTAGTCTACAGGACAGGTACAAAGCCCAAGCTGGAATGCACCAGACCCACACCCCTTCTCAATGGTGCTGCCGCCACCCACTACACTCAACAATGAGTGTGGACCTGCCCTCTGGTGGCCTCCAGGGGTTCCTGCCTCAGATAAGAGAAATTCACACCAAAAACACCACTGAATCTCAAAAGGAACTGATTGCGCCCATGGCTGGGGGGCATGAGGTCTCCATGGGTTGTTCTTAGGGGATGAAGGGTTGAAGAAAGAGGAAGTATAGCCGCTCTCACACCCATGGGACTTTCTCACTCCTGCTATGAGAGAAAGGACCGGATAAGAGTGGCAGCAAACAATAGTTCAGTTTTTTATGTGCTTTTCAATGCAGAGGGGCAGACAGCACTAGGAATTCGGGCCTGGAGCTGGGGGAGAGATTAAAAGTCCGCTGCACAGCACCCTCCTGGGAGCCCACTGCCTCCTTTAGGAAAAAACCTAGTGAACCCAGCCAGTAGCATCAGGGTGATGCCTCAGCAGGGTGGAAAAAAAGCACCGGTGCTCGAACTTTCCTTTAGTCCTGATGGATCCGAATAAGGTGTATATGTGTATTGTGGGGGGAGTGGGGGGTTTCACAAGAGTAGAACCCCCTTCACAGGGGAGGGACCTAGAACTGAGTACTTGCTGGCCCTTGGACAGCTGGCCACCACCTCACCAGGGCATCTGCAGGCCCAGCTCTCCGGTCCAGCGTGTACCCTCCATGGACAATTCCCAACCAGAAATGATGAAGGTCGCTTATGTCCAGACATACTGAAGAGCATGTGCCAAGTTTCTGACGACACACGTAAACAACCTCGGTTCCCCAGCCATGGAGAAAATACTTACTGAGTTGATCGAGAGCTGAGGGCGGCATAATTACTGTGGAAAGAATATTTTAAAAACATTAAGAAAATAAAATTAAAAAGGCAGAACAAAAGCCAAAATTTAGTCTCTGTCGTATCTTTAAAACATACTATATGATACTTGTGAGGTAGCCAGCATTTCATGATGGTCTTTTATGAGGAATTTTACTCGCTGTAATTCATGGTGGGGAACCCAATAGCTATTAGCCATAAATCTAATCATAATTAGGACTCTCCCCGCCACCCTAGGCCCCCCTTAGCAAGTCTAGGGCAAGTAAGAGTATCGCTGTAACTAACTTCTGGTTACACATGCAAAACAAGGGCTACTGAAGACAATAAGCACTGCAGGTTGAGGGCAGGAAAGGTTACTATTCAAAATAAAAACGAGCACATACTCTTCCCTCCTTTCTCCACATCTGACCTGTCATTAGGCCCTGCGAGCATGGACACGGAGAAGCAGCGGTACTGTGTGGAGAAGCGGTTCTGGAAGACCCGGGGAATCGGGTGGTCAAACATGTTGAAGGAGAACTACAAGGAAGGAAAGAGACGTTGGAGTTAGAACAGAACAAAGGTACATTTCTTCACGTCGAAAGCCCAAACAAGTCAGGGCAGTTAATGCGGCATAATGTTCTGGAAGAACAAGATGCACCAAAATCCTGATGGAGCACAGCAGTCTACTGGAAGCACTTACTTCCCCGGAACATGGGAATCTCAGATCTGTTTCTACACATTTGGCCCTGCCCAGTCTCGTCCCTCCCATCTCGATTCCACTGCTTTTAGAAGGTTCAATCTTATTAAAATATACAATTGGCCACATCAGGCCTGTCATTAACCTTTCTCAGTCTCTCACCCCTCACCCAAGGATCCAGGCCAGACCTCACATGTACCTCAGGGACTCATTACTACGGTCCACAATCTCCTACACCTGCCACACCTGGTTCCTCCAACCGGAACACTTTCCCTCTTCAACAATTTAAAAAAAAATCTATTTTTGTAAATTTGAGTGCCCACTATCTGCTAGGCTCTGATCTAATCACTAGCAGAACATCGGTCTAGGCTGTTTGCTCATTGACAAAATAGGTACAACATCCACCCTGGAGGAGCTGGCATTTAAGACAAGGGAAACAAGAGAAAATGCCTGCCGTGTCTGGTGCTGATCAATGCTCTGAGAGCAAGATGGGGTAAGGGACAGAGAGCTCCTGGGAATGCTATTCTTTTTTAAAAGATTTTATTTATTTCTTTGAGAGAGTGAGGGAGAGAGCAGAGCACTAGCTGGAGGAAGGCAAGAGGGAGAGGGAGGAGCAGACTTCCTGTGGAGCAGGGAGCCCAACATGGGACTCAGACCTGAAGTCGGATGCTTAACGGACTGAGCCACCAGGTGCCTGGGACTGCTATTTTAAGTGGGTGGTCAGGAAGGGACTCTGCAGAGACTTGAATGCCAGGAGGGAGCCAGGCAAAAACAAACAAACAAAACCAGGGAACAGCATTCCAGACAACAGGAAGAGCAGGCATGAGGTGTTTGCACTCCTTCCCCTGGCTTCTATGACTATCCTTTCCTTGCTCCAGGAACCTTCCCTGCTTTGCCCAGGGTTTGACTGGTGCCCCTCCAAGGTGCTCTCATGTTGTTACACTGTGGTACGCCCTCATGTTAATAAGTAAACTCAAGACATGGTGCCACCAAAAAGGTACTATCCCAGGTCTTAACATGCGGATTATGGTGAGGCTTAGAAAACATGTTATATGGCAATCTGGAGTCTTCTCAAGTATTGCAATTACCATGATGTCCCTCCTCCCAACCCCCACTAATGTAAAATTACACAACAGGGTACATATCCAAAAGAACTGAAAGCAGGCTCTTGAAAAGATATTTGTCTCATGTTCGAATGTTCATAGCAGCACTATTCCTAATAGCTAAGAGGTGGAAACAATCCAAGTGTCCATCAACAGACAAAAGGCTAAAAAAATGTGGTCTAGGGGCACCTGGGTGGCTCAGTGGGTTAAGTAAGCCTCTGCCTTCGGCTCAGGTCATGATCTCAGGGTCCTGGGATCGAGTCCCGCATCGGGATCTCTGCTCAGTGGGGAGCTTGCTTCCTCCTCTCTCTCTCTCTCTGCCTGCCTCTCTGCCTACTTGTGATCTCTCTCTTTCAAATAAATAAATAAATTCTTAAAAAAAATGTGGTCTACCCACACACAATGGAATATTATTCAGCCTTTAAAAGGGAGGAAAATCACAGGGCGCCTGGGTGGCTCAGTCGTTAAGTGTCTGCCTTCAGCTCAGGTCACGATCCCAGCATCCTGGGATCCAGTCCCACATCGGGCTCCCTGCTCAGCGGGGAGCCTGCTTCTCCCTTCCTCTCCTCTGCCACTCCCCCTGCTTGTGCTCTCTCTCCTGCTTCCTCTCACTCTCAAATAAATAAAATCTTAAAAAAAAAAAAAAAAGGGAGGAAAATCTTATCACATACTACAACATGGATGAAACTTGAGGACATTACACTCAGTGAAAAAAACCAGTCACAAAAAGACAAATACTATTTGATTTCACTTATATGAGGTCCCTAGAGTTGTCAAATTTATAGAGACAAAAAGTAAAATGTTGGTTGCCATGGAACAGGTGAGGGGAAATGGGGGAATTGTTTAATGGGTACAGAGTTTTGGTTTTACAGGATTAAAAAATTCTGGACATCCAATACACAACAATGTGAATATACTTAACATTACAGAATCTATGCTTAAAAATGGTTAAGATGGTAAATTTATGTGTTTTTTACAAGTTTTAAAAAACATCTCATAATGAACAATTATTTCCCTTTTTTAAAAAAATATTTTATTTATTTGAGAGAGATCACAAGTAGTCAGAGAGGCAGGCAGAGAGAGGGGGGAAGCAGGCTCCCTGCTGAGCAGGGATCCCGATGTGGGGCTCGATCCCAGGACCCTGAGATCATGACCTGAGCTGAAGGCAGAGGCTTTAACCCACTGAGCCACCCAGGCACCCCTGAACAACTATTTCTTGACTGGATTCCAAATACACATTAAAGAGAGGGAAAGCCGTCTACTGATAAGGTCTACTACTAGCAATTCCAAAATTAGCAAGATGAATCTGCGATCTTCCTGAAATACAAACACAGTATGTTCCTGCTTAGAATCTCAAATGGCTCTTCAATCCCTGGGAGCTTTAGCATAGTAGTTTTCAAGGGTTTATCTCTTCTTTTAAGCACAACTCTGTTCCAGTCTTGGCCAGAAGCGTAACAAACGTGAAGGTAGACCAGTGGAGGATTCCCGTAGCCTTTCACTACACCACCCCACCTAAGCCATTTTTTTCTCTTTGCTTTCATTCCTTCTTAAATTAGAAAACCCCCACAAAGTATTTAAGGCCCCTAACAACTTGCCTTCAATCCACCCATGAACCTGACCTTCTGCCCCTCCCTGCTGCTCCCAACCCCAAGTCCTACTTTCCTTTAGGACTTTCCTTTATAATCCCAATGCCTAGCATATTGCCTAGACCTCTCAGGTATTCAACGTGTTTAAGTGGATGAACTTGAGAATGGAAGCATGATTCAACAATGACATACTTCGGATAAAACCTAATAACCATTACTTCTTTTTGCTAAAATAAACAAGTGACATTGAGGCAATGCCGTACAATGGCAACAGGACTAATCTTGCGGCCAGACACACTTGGTTTCAAATTTCCACTCCCACTTCCCTGATCTAAACTACTTTTTAAAATCTTGGGTGTTTTCACGGTTAAAATGATGATAATCATCCTTACCTCCAAAGCCATTGTAGGGATTAAATGGGATGAGGAGTAATAAGGGACTGTGGGTGTTAAAAACTGTGTAAAAGAAAAGAGCGCCAGCAAAAACTAGCTACTACTGTTATCTTTACTGAATCGCTTAAATAGCCAAAGGCGTCATTACAACCGAGGCATGACCCAGAAGTACTGCGCTGGACAAGAACTGGGGCAAGGGCTGAGTGTTCCCGCCCATGGGAACGGCCCCCAAGCATTATCCCTGGGGGGTCCCCGACTCGGCTCCTCACCCCCAGCAACTTTTCCATTAATTTGGTGTTATGGAAACCTGTTACATGCCTAGCACTTGTGAGACCCATGGGTGGACCCAAACGTAGAAAATTCCTTTTCACCCTAAGAGTTTAAGTCCAACTGAGAGGGAATTCGAACTGTGCCCGGGACCAACGAAGACAAGCCAAGGCCGTTCGTGGTCAAGGGTCCGGCTCTTGCCCGGCCGGGGTGACTCGGCATCTCCGCGGCCGTCCTGTCAGCCCTGCGGGACTCGGCCTCGGCCTCTGGCTCCAGCAGCCAGCCCCAGCTCCCAGCCCTCGCCAGGCCGCGCTCACCATGGTGGACACCCCTGCCTCGAAGATGCCGCTTCGCCCAGAGAACGTTACGATGCGAGCCCGCCGACCCTCTCTGCTCGCAGCAGCCGCTGCCGCCGCTTCCGCTCGGACGCCCTGGGAGGCTCACCGGAAGTGCCGGACCTGAGACCCAGGGGGAGAAGAGGAGGACAGGGGTCGGCTGCAAATGAAAAGAAGCCGGGCAAAGGCGCTAGGGTCTAAAACTTCTCTGGAGTATATACTAAAATACAAATTCCTATTTTTTGTCGCTCTAGGGTAATTTTTATCATTATTTTAAATTACATTTTAATAGTACTCCCCTCTAGACGAATTTAGTGAGGTCCGCTCTCCTTGTCGACTACACTACCCAGAATGCACGTAGACCTCCCGGCTTTTGCTGCAGCCATCGAGGATGCTGGCGGAAGTAATCTACACATCAGCCTTCGAACTACGCCGAGAGCTTTTTGAAGTCGTAAACTGACGACTCCGTTCGACGCATAAGTGGATTTAATTTATGGCGATGTTTCTTTTTCCTGGAGTTCCCAGTGGGAGGCTTTAAGCTTCTCTTCCCAAACTAAAGATGTCCACCAAGCGTCAGATTTGTGGGTAAATGGGAGTCAGGATTGAAGTGGGCGACCGTGCTTGCGTCCTGCCTGTGGATGACGCTCCTTTAGGAGCCTGCCTGACTTTTCCAGACTGAATGGCGGAGTGCTAGTGCCCGCCTCCAATATGACCCAATGAGAAAGAGGGAAAGGCAGGGAACTAAGTAGCGATTGGTTGGATCCTGGGCCAATCGGACGAGTCCTGATTTGGCGGGAGTCTTGACCACCCCGACAACTCTCAGGAGTTTCTGCACTAACTCTCGGTGTCCGGCCGCCGTGGCCATGTTCGTGTCCGATTTCCGCAAGGAGTTCTACGAGGTGGTCCAGAGCCAGGTGACCCCTTTTCTTGGACCTCGTGGCCTTGTCGGGGGGAAGGGATGAGAGGGAGCGGCCGTGGGAGGGCACCAGGGGCCAGTGTTCGGGTCTCTGCGTTCAACTGCGCTCTTCTCCCGACAGAGGGTCCTTCTCTTCGTGGCTTCGGACGTGGACGCTTTGTGCGCTTGCAAGATCCTCCAGGTGAGCCTTGCGTATTTTGGAAGGGAAGGGCCGGGGCGAAAGGTGAGGATGCAGGCGGGGCCCCAGGAGGAGTTTGGTGCCGGGTGGGCTGGAAGTCGGGGCTGGAGGTGAGGAGCAGAGTAGGGAACCTCTCTTCACCCCAGCCCCCATGATGAGAGCTCAGGCTACCGTAGGGGCTGGAGCAAAGGAAACCTAGGGAGGGGCACTCGTCGCTGGCAGGAGTATTGGGTGGGTCGGGGAAGGATTCGGCAAAAAGCAGGAATACTAGTTAGTATTTTGCAATAACGTGGGACCAAAAAATGGTTGCATTGGAGAGACCCTTAGACCCCGCGTGTCTTCGCGAATGTGGGGTTTCAGACAGAGGACTCTGTGATAACTGAGGGCACCGTGGTTTCATACACAATACCAGAAATTCAGATTCCTTCGTCTATTAGGGAAGATCATTGGTACTATTTTGAATATGATCCAATGTTTACATGACCTTTGCTCAGGCCCTTGGGTGAGGCACTGCTTCTCAGAAGATCTAGAAATAAGATCAACTTTCCCCTCAATGTTTTCCTTTCGTTATTTTCAAAAATTAGGCAAAGTTGATAGAATGATACAGTGAACAGTCATATCCCCATAACCTAGTTTTCCCCATTAACATTTTACCATTCTTACTTTATCACATGTCATTCATTTCTCAATCCATCTTTTTTTTTTAAGTGCTTTTCAAAGGTAATTGTAGATGTCCTAAATTTGATAGGTTTGAAATTAATATCTCTCAGGCCCTGTTCCAGTGCGATCACGTGCAGTATACCCTGGTTCCAGTTTCTGGGTGGCAAGAACTTGAAACTGCATTTCTTGAGCATAAAGAACAGGTATGGAAGAAATATTTTGGAATAATTAGTCTTATTTTACTCAGTTGCAATTTTTTACTACACAGCATTCTTTCTATGTCCATGATAGATTGTATGTATATTTAACTATCAGCTATATTAGACAACATGGAAGGAAAAAATGAGTTATACAGGGTGACTTACCCTCAAGTTGTAGAGACAAAATTGACAACCAAAAAAAAAAAAAAAAAAAAGATAGTGACGGCAGACACCCGCTGCCTTTGAATTTGTGTTGCAGACATTTTCATTGTAAGCTGCTTAGAGTTTAGCAGTTAGTTTTTGATATGGCCTAGTTAAGATTATGTTACACTACACAACTAGTTTACATTCTCTCTCCAAGAAAAAGTATCCCAGCTTCCAAATGTTAATCCAGGAATATGTCTTCTCCCTTTGCAATTTAAACAGTAGAGGCCAGGACTTCTGGTACCTCTGCATGGGGCTATACTGAAAGATGGGACATTTTAGATCCCACAGGGTAGGGTTGTGGTAGGGAAGAGGATCTTTGGGGTCTGTAGCCACATTTTGGACTGTCTAGCAGAGATAAATCCTTGCCTGGAGCTCCTGTCATCACGGAAGGAGCATATTTGTGCCAACTTGGTGTTTACAAGGAAGGGATTGTCTATAGTGATAGGACGTAATAAGACTTAATTTAATATTATGTGCTCATTGAGTATGGGCTGCCCAAGACTTGCTACAAATTTAGACCTGTATGACGTTGTTAGTACAGAGAGGCAACACCGTCCGGTAGGGTGACTGAGATCTGCAGAGGCTCTGTTATGCCTTTGAAGTCTTGGTCTATTGCTCGTCAACTTCTTGGTCCTGTGCATGAAACTGAGTCATGCTGAGCCTCCATGTGCTGCTCTGAGAAGCAGAGACAGTCACAGGGCTAGCCATGGGGCCTGTCTCATGGTGTCATCATGGAAATGAAATAGCATGTGGAGTATGTTAAAGCACCTACACAGACCAGCACTTGCCATTTTTGGAGCCTCTCACCGTCCGGGCCTTGCCCAGTGCCAGGGGCTTGATGTGTCTCAGAAGAAGGACTTAAGGGCCTAGTAGGCTGAAGTGAAGATCCTCCTCAAGGCACTTACTTCACAACGTCCTCTCCTCTTTCTTCTTTCCAGTTCCATTATTTTATCCTCATAAACTGTGGAGCTAACGTAGACCTGTTGGATATCCTCCAGCCTGACGAAGATGCCATATTTTTTGTGTGTGACACCCACAGACCAGTCAACGTCGTGAATGTGTACAATGATGCCCAGGTAACTCGACCTTTGGGGCACATGTCTTCCCTGAGTTCTCCTATCCATCTTTCTGTACCTCTTATATTATGGACAACATCGCATCTGGTGATCTAAGCAAGGCACGTATCCACCTCTGCTATAGGTGTTGGAACAGCCTGAGGGGCAAGAACCTGGTCTTGCTTTTTTCTGGTGAGAAACTGGCACCTAAGCCTTGGAGGCGCTCAGAATGCATTTTGGATTCACTTCACCTTTGAAGTGTAGGGATCAGAAGTCTGCACTGAGCCTGCCCTCTGAGCTCAGGCCCAGCTGACCTCATTGAATAAAAGGATCTAGAGGCATTAGCCCTACAAGTGGGGCTAGCATTTTCTGTCCAGCCAAAGGGTGGTGTGAGGACCAGAAGATGATAGCGTAAGAGGCCACTGTTAGCCTAAAATGGCCGTGCTGTGCTTCCTCTTTGAGCCCCAGCAGCAAGCATGGAGCCTGGCACAGGGCGGCCACCTAACCATTCTCTGAGTTGACCCTCCCCAACCCCCAGCCTTGTTATCAAACTGTTGGCCCTAAAGTTCTCTCTCGAAGCAAAATCAGCTCGGCCCTGCTTCTAGAGACAGCAGTTGTATGCACCGAAGTGTCACACATCTTCAGGTTTTCCATCAGAGTCCAAGTTGGAGGGTATTCATTTTGTTTGCTTAGTGTGTGGCGTAAGAGGGAGCTTTTTTCTCAGACTTCAATGACTGGGGATAGTTTTAAATCTTTGGAATTTTCTCGTATTGTGTGGTACAACTCCAGTGCCTCAGGGAGTGGAAATGAAAACAGGAAAATGCTTGAGAAGTCGGAAATTCTTCTCTCAAACAGGGGACTCTTTGTACACAAAACTGAACGAGTCAGCTCATTGGGAAAGAAGATTCTCCAGGAGAAAAACATGTGACAGAGAATTTTCTGTCTATGAGAGAGGAGAACCTTGACTGCTTTTTGTTTTAACCTTAGATCAAACTACTCATTAAACAAGATGATGACCTTGAAGTTCCTGCCTATGATGATATCTTTAGGGATGAAGAAGAGGATGAAGAGCATTCAGGAAGTGAAAGTGACAATGGGTCAGAGCCTTCTGAGAAGCGCACACGGTTGGAAGAGGTGAGTTTGGGACTTCCCATAATCTTGAGGAACTTGTCATTCCCAGAGGTCAGAGCTCAGACTGGAGCCTGCGGGGCCCAAGGTTGGCTGGGACTCACCAGGCATGGATCTTGACCCTGAGCTCTGCCATCCCCTGTCTGTGTGGCCTCAGGCAGGTTACTGAACTTCTCTGACCTTTGACATCCTTGTCCATACAGTAGAATTTCATCAGATAAGATGAAACTTAGAATGGCTCAGCTCTTCGCTTAGAGAACATACTTTTTAAAAAAGTGATACAGAGGGGTGGCTTGGTGGCTCAGCTGGTTAAGCGTTTTACTCTTGGTTTTGGCTCAGGTCATGACCTCAGGGTCTTGAGGTCAAGCCCCATGTCGGGCTCCACACGCAATGCAGAGTTTGCTCAAGATTCTCTCTCCCTCTCCTTCCACCACTTGCTTTCTTTCTCAAATAAAAAATAAAATTACCAAAAAAGTGATAAATAAAAACAATAAATAGCATAAACATCAACTCTCTTCCTTATTTTCTCAAGACTTGCTCTCTGCAGTCACCATGAAGAACAGCATGAGTCTGTGGCTCTCAGCTAGGCTCAGTCCCCAGTGGTCACTCCAGGGTAAGCCTCTTGCATGCAAAGATAAGAGTAGTTTGAGCCTCGTGACTTTTGGGTCTGAGGTGCTTACCTGATCTGGGGCCTGGCCAACAGAAGTAGCTTACCCAATGCAGTGGCTTCTGCTACCTGGGAAATAAATGGCAGATGGTTATTCCTTTAAC